AAAATAATTGTGTGCCTCTTCGGAACTACACTGCTGAGAAGTGTGATTTCTGTTTTGTAGATGAGGAAGCAGGTTCAGAGAGCTGTATCATGTTGCTTTAGCTGATAAATGAGAACTGACATTCAAATTTGGTCACTTCTGCTGCTAAGGCTTACTCCATCACCTGCAAGTATTCATATTTCAAATTTCCAAAGTGAGACTTTGTCTTAAAATACCTCTGAATGGTTACTTACCAAAATTACCAGTGCATTTGCACTTTGATCCAATTATCACACTTCTGTAGGAATTCATCTGACAGATCTGGACATGTACAAAATGACACATAAACAATGTCATCATTTCAGCCTTGTTTGAAATAGCAGGAGACTGAAGACAGCAGGAGGGAAGGGTTAAATAAAGTACGGTGCATTCATACAGTGGACTGTCAAGTAGCTGTAGGAAAGAGTAAGAAAACTCTCAGTGACCGATTCCCAGAGATCTTTGGGGTATATTGTTAAATAACAACAAGGCAATGTGTCTTTTATGTAAGACTGAAAATAAGGATGTGTATTTATATTTGCTTTCATCTGTGAAAAGAAACACAAAGAATCTAAGTTACTTATCTAATGAGATACCTATAAGGGTGGTGAAGGATGGAGTAGAAGGATACCAGATAAGGAGCAAATCTTCTCAAAATCCAAACATTCAAAATGTGGAATACTTACCATTAACCTCTGCTATATTTGAAATTATACCTGCTCCTGGAAATACTTTTTGGCTTATGAATTTATAACATTCTCTTATACTTATCAAGTGATCAATTGATTGATCCATTGATCCATCCATCCAACCATTATAGTTATTTATCTATGTGCCAGGTACTACAGGGGAAATAGCTGAGAAAAATGACATAGTTCTTGCCTTAAGTCTAGATGTAAAGATAGAGATTAGTCAAATTACCACACAAATATGCTAAAATATCAATCATGCTACAAAAAGTATAAAAAAGAACCAAGTTATTCTGGGATGGGTGTTAGAAAAGGCTTCCTGAGGAAGTGGCTTCTGAACTCCAGGTGACGTAGGAGGCAGTAGGCAAAAGGATGGAGGAAAGACAGAGGGAGCAGTATTCATGAAGACTCTAGGCCACTAGGGGGGGGGGGGGGGGGGGGGGGGGGGGGGGGGGGGGGGGGGGGGGGGGGGGGGGGGGGGGGGGGGGGGGGGGGGGGGGGGGGGGGGGGGGGGGGGGGGGGGGGGGGGGGGGGGGGGGGGGGGGGGGGGGGGGGGGGGGGGGGGGGGGGGGGGGGGGGGGGGGGGGGGGGGGGGGGGGGGGGGGGGGGGGGGGGGGGGGGGGGGGGGGGGGGGGGGGGGGGGGGGGGGGGGGGGGGGGGGGGGGGGGGGGGGGTGGGGGGGGGGGGGGGGGGGGGGGGGGGGGGGGGGGGGGGGGGGGGGGGGGGGGGGGGGGGGGGGGGGGGGGGGGGGGGGGGGGGGGGGGGGGGGGGGGGGGGGGGGGGGGGGGGGGGGGGGGGGGGGGGGGGGGGGGGGGGGGGGGGGGGGGGGGGGGGGGGGGGGGGGGGGGGGGGGGGGGGGGGGGGGGGGGGGGGGGGGGGGGGGGGGGGGGGGGGGGGGGGGGGGGGGGGGGGGGGGGGGGGGGGGGGGGGGGGGGGGGGGGGGGGGGGGGGGGGGGGGGGGGGGGGGGGGGGGGGGGGGGGGGGGGGGGGGGGGGGGGGGGGGGGGGGGGGGGGGGGGGGGGGGGGGGGGGGGGGGGGGGGGGGGGGGGGGGGGGGGGGGGGGGGGGGGGGGGGGGGGGGGGGGGGGGGGGGGGGGGGGGGGGGGGGGGGGGGGGGGGGGGGGGGGGGGGGGGGGGGGGGGGGGGGGGGGGGGGGGGGGGGGGGGGGGGGGGGGGGGGGGGGGGGGGGGGGGGGGGGGGGGGGGGGGGGGGGGGGGGGGGGGGGGGGGGGGGGGGGGGGGGGGGGGGGGGGGGGGGGGGGGGGGGGGGGGGGGGGGGGGGGGGGGGGGGGGGGGGGGGGGGGGGGGGGGGGGGGGGGGGGGGGGGGGGGGGGGGGGGGGGGGGGGGGGGGGGGGGGGGGGGGGGGGGGGGGGGGGGGGGGGGGGGGGGGGGGGGGGGGGGGGGGGGGGGGGGGGGGGGGGGGGGGGGGGGGGGGGGGGGGGGGGGGGGGGGGGGGGGGGGGGGGGGGGGGGGGGGGGGGGGGGGGGGGGGGGGGGGGGGGGGGGGGGGGGGGGGGGGGGGGGGGGGGGGGGGGGGGGGGGGGGGGGGGGGGGGGGGGGGGGGGGGGGGGGGGGGGGGGGGGGGGGGGGGGGGGGGGGGGGGGGGGGGGGGGGGGGGGGGGGGGGGGGGGGGGGGGGGGGGGGGGGGGGGGGGGGGGGGGGGGGGGGGGGGGGGGGGGGGGGGGGGGGGGGGGGGGGGGGGGGGGGGGGGGGGGGGGGGGGGGGGGGGGGGGGGGGGGGGGGGGGGGGGGGGGGGGGGGGGGGGGGGGGGGGGGGGGGGGGGGGGGGGGGGGGGGGGGGGGGGGGGGGGGGGGGGGGGGGGGGGGGGGGGGGGGGGGGGGGGGGGGGGGGGGGGGGGGGGGGGGGGGGGGGGGGGGGGGGGGGGGGGGGGGGGGGGGGGGGGGGGGGGGGGGGGGGGGGGGGGGGGGGGGGGGGGGGGGGGGGGGGGGGGGGGGGGGGGGGGGGGGGGGGGGGGGGGGGGGGGGGGGGGGGGGGGGGGGGGGGGGGGGGGGGGGGGGGGGGGGGGGGGGGGGGGGGGGGGGGGGGGGGGGGGGGGGGGGGGGGGGGGGGGGGGGGGGGGGGGGGGGGGGGGGGGGGGGGGGGGGGGGGGGGGGGGGGGGGGGGGGGGGGGGGGGGGGGGGGGGGGGGGGGGGGGGGGGGGGGGGGGGGGGGGGGGGGGGGGGGGGGGGGGGGGGGGGGGGGGGGGGGGGGGGGGGGGGGGGGGGGGGGGGGGGGGGGGGGGGGGGGGGGGGGGGGGGGGGGGGGGGGGGGGGGGGGGGGGGGGGGGGGGGGGGGGGGGGGGGGGGGGGGGGGGGGGGGGGGGGGGGGGGGGGGGGGGGGGGGGGGGGGGGGGGGGGGGGGGGGGGGGGGGGGGGGGGGGGGGGGGGGGGGGGGGGGGGGGGGGGGGGGGGGGGGGGGGGGGGGGGGGGGGGGGGGGGGGGGGGGGGGGGGGGGGGGGGGGGGGGGGGGGGGGGGGGGGGGGGGGGGGGGGGGGGGGGGGGGGGGGGGGGGGGGGGGGGGGGGGGGGGGGGGGGGGGGGGGGGGGGGGGGGGGGGGGGGGGGGGGGGGGGGGGGGGGGGGGGGGGGGGGGGGGGGGGGGGGGGGGGGGGGGGGGGGGGGGGGGGGGGGGGGGGGGGGGGGGGGGGGGGGGGGGGGGGGGGGGGGGGGGGGGGGGGGGGGGGGGGGGGGGGGGGGGGGGGGGGGGGGGGGGGGGGGGGGGGGGGGGGGGGGGGGGGGGGGGGGGGGGGGGGGGGGGGGGGGGGGGGGGGGGGGGGGGGGGGGGGGGGGGGGGGGGGGGGGGGGGGGGGGGGGGGGGGGGGGGGGGGGGGGGGGGGGGGGGGTGTGTGGGGGGGAG